AAAAAAAAAAAAAAACCACTATTTTTTTGGAAATTAATAGATCCCTCACAGCTGCTTCAGTTTTATTTATCTTTCATGAATGAGATGAGGAAATATTATGTAATTTTGTAGGATATTTCAGTTTCTCAGTAATTAATGTTAGCTGAAACCTCAAAGTATTTTGTAATCATCCAACAACATATGCTGCTTACATGCGAGCTGAGCTTGTATCTTCCTATCAGGTCAATGTAATAAGGCACAAGAGCAACCAAACGAGTCATATCTGCCATGTTATTAGCATCAGGAAGAGCAAACTTGAACATCAGCTTCTTTTTGGCTGAGCCAACGTGTTGATCAGAAATGTGCATTGAGATGAAGCCCTTTCCGAATTTGTCAAAAACTTTTTCACCAAAAACCTTCATAAATTTGTAGAAGTCATTATATTAATGCTTGACAAGAAATGGGGGAATCAAACGAAGATCACATTTCCCAAGCAAAATGTGAAAATAAACGTACTCCAAATTGAAATACATTGTACAAGAAGAATGACAGAAAAAATTGCAAGAGATAGCAATGTCTATGACGCCTCAAAATGCAAAGTAAGAACATCATCATGCAAAGAATGAGATGCAAACATTAGATCAAAATAGAGATGGATAAGGGAAACATCAACATAATACTTGCTGCATATTGAATGTGACACATCTGGGACGTAGCAACCTAAACTATTTTTCCTTTAAACTGAGAAAGGAAACAAGAGCACTTTTGATTGTTTTTGCATACTTAACAACCACATAGTACTCTAGACTGATGCATGTTTCCACTTTCCATTGTAATTAATAAGTTTAAGACACTTTCTGTCACCAACCGACATCAATCCACAATGCTTGTTCGCACACAAGGCGAACTTACGGAGAGTATCAGTAGCTATTTCGGCCAATATCCACCATCACCCCAAGCAAAAGTTAAATGACAAATCCTCAGTACTTAGACTCCTGATAAGAATTATTAAACGGCCAAAAAAAAAAAAAATTAAAACAAGTCACATTAAGTAATGCTCCCATGTCATTTGAAGCTAAACAAAGCCACTTGTTAGTGAACTTCAATAGGTTATGCTATTTTAAATCTTAATCTCACTAAGATAATCTCCCAATTAGAACAAGTACATCCTTTTTAAAATATAATAAAGGTTTAGTTCTTTCGCGAAGTTCCATTAATTAGATATCTTACGAAAAAGACCTGCAAGGACAAGCTATTATCATAGATCCTAAGTCTCTTACTATATGAAGAGACCAGGCACGCACCTACCCACAATTTAATACTTAAATGCCAGATAATTAGAAAGTTGAAATGATGACCAGATTTTTTTTTAAACTATGCTACTTTTTCCATTCCTCTCTCTCTCTCTCTCTCTCTCTCTCTCTCTCTCTCTCT